CTTAAGGGTAAATTTAAGGGCTGTTGAAATGTTAGGGAAACCTTAGAAAATAATGGGGGGGGGGGGAGGAAAGGGAGTAAATTGCAATTGACTAGCATCCAAACTATTGGAATTAGTAGTATTTCAGACACTTTAACAATGACTGATTTTCTGTTAGCAATGAAATGTAAATATCTCACAAATATTCTCAATACGTAATTTTCACTTGAACATAACCCAGAGTTTCTCTCCTACATTTGACGGTATGAACAATAAAGGGTTTTGGAAGACTGATCAATGTCAATAAATCAATCTATCAAACTATCCATTAGTAAATCAATAATATATCCGAGGCTTTTCCTCGAATCCCTTTGCGCATCAGTTTCTTCAGGAGCCATCAATGGATCTCCTCCTTTGTTCTTTCCTTTCCCTATGCGCCAATTAAGTGCATTCGACTGTATTCTTGCAGGAGGAGAAGGATATGAAATTCAAGTTTGCTCGTACCCGTGTTTGGATGTATTACGTCAGTAGGATCAGTCCTCTGCCTCCCCCGTTTAACTTGTTTCCGGTAGGAAAGATCGCTCTAGGAATCCGCCGGCTCGTTACACGGTGCAGCTCAATGGGAGAAGTAAGTAGTAAAGAACAGTAACGGTATAAGCACTTGCACAAAATTTGGATGTTCGTTTCTCGTCTTTTAAACCAAATGAGCCAAGAGTGATCAACGTGTAACTTCTCATGGTAATTTTATTTCATAAGTTAGAAAATATTTAGTCGGAGTACTCAAACTGATCAGCTCGAAGAGGTTGTCCTAATGTAACACTTGATTCTCCTAATTCATATTACAAGGAAATTTATGACAATTAGTAAGGAGAAAAGATGGTTATTTGGTGGGATCTAAAAATTTAAGGCATTCCTTCTCTCCTCCTCTCCCAAGAAATAAGAAAGAGTTTAGGATTTAATTAATCCTATCTACGAGTTTTAATTTTTAATTTTATCTTCTCAAGTGTCTCGTCTGCAATGAGAAGCAAGAATCGTCTCCAAAAACCAAGACAAATGAGAAGAGAGTGAGTTTGATTCATAAACTTTATTAGGATTAGCCCATAGAGCTAAAATAACACAGTTATGAACAACTGTAGAGGTATCGGTAATTAGGTACGTTGAAAGACACACTACAATTGATTCCTGAGCTTTTTCTGTTTTTTTTTTTGAAAGCTTATACGTAACCCTGGCCTACTTTTTCTCCAATGAAACACAGGCCCAGAATGGGTGAGTGATAGAATTGGCCTCTGTCCGAGCGCTTTTCACTTGAAAAATACTAAAACCTAAATAGTTTCATTTGGAAATGAAGGAAACAAGCCAATGAGAACTCGTAAACAGCCTCAAGCACAAAAAACGTCAATGATCAGGTCACGATTGATTTTTTAGACATGCTTCTGATTGGTTGGAACTGAAGCACAACAAACTGTTGCGTAAACCAATCAGAAGGCGCCGTAAAGCAAAATAATCAATGCGACCTTGTAATACGTTCTAGTACTCAGTTAAAGATTATCCAAAAACCAGCAATAATCATTACCAGAGAGAAAATGCGCAACATTGTTCAAAACTGATCATTCCAACACCTAGCAGAATTAGTGTCGTTAGGCCTTGGCAGTGACTTGAGCTGAAAACTCAATTTTGTGTTTCATAGCGTCGAATGGTCATCAAAAATCTAATCCAGCGCTATTTTGATGTGAACGGAAAAACACAAAAAGAGGAGCCTGTTGAAGATCATCCACCTCCAGAAGAGTTACAATGCAAGCTGATGGAGGTCACTAATACATTACAGAATCTACAAACTGCGATAAAGCGGTTCCGTCAAAAAACACCAACGGTGAGTCACTTCCAGTTTTAAACACTTTGGGACGCAATTGTATTTTTAAACGAGTGCACTAGTAACATGCTCGGTGTCCGCTGTTTGGTTTTACAACCAAACAGAAATAACTTATTACGCTGGAACAAGCTTCACATTAACTTTCCTTCTTATTAATTTTTTTCTTTAATCATTATTTCAGGAAAAGAATAAGACTGAGAAAACAGAACCGCTCGAGTGATGCAGCTTGTTTTAACAAGTTGATTGCTAAGACAAAGATACATTCGTATTGCTCGCTAAATAGATTTTGAAATGAAAAAGAATTAGTTAATGTAACGAGGAAAATTCTGTGATACAATGCCACTGACTCATCTGGCCACTCTAGCGCATATAAGAAAATACATTTTATGATGTCTACTCGATAATCAAAGTATATCAAAATAGCTTTTTGTCACAAATCGGTTTGTGGAATGGGTGTCGTCCAAACAATGCAGAGTAGCATAAGAAGTCGAATTTTATTGTAAAGCATACAATTTCGCTACATACCATTAGTAAGATGCCGTAATTAATTTACCGTAACATATTGAAAGTAGTGTAATATGTCGTAAAATAATGTAAATGTAGAGTATTGTGTAGGTAGTGTAAGTAATCGAGTGTAAGTCATCTTACTGTAATAAAGTTTATTATAACATTTCGCGCGTGCTTGCCCTATAATATATAGATTTAGCCAAGCCTAAAAGCGAAGCTCGCATTATTTTTTCCCGCATGTCTCAAGGGCACAACGCCTTGCCCCGGCCAGCCCTAAACCCGGGTCGTGCGACTCAGAGCCCAGTGCACTGACCACTGGACTACTGGACAAAGCCGTGGCGTTGGCGTGCCCGCGGTACAGTTGACCACGCATGTTAAAAGTAGCACCTTGTACGGTCGTACGGTCGTACGGTCGTACGGTCGTACGGTCGTACGGTCGTACGGTCGTACGGTCGTACGGTCGTACGGTCGTACGGTCGTACGGTCGTACGGTCGTACGGTCGTACATCCAAATTTTTTCGGCTTGATGGGTTACTACTATTTTGTATAATTATGGGGCTACGCTCTGCGAGCTCCACTATAAGTCCTATTGAGCCGCTATGAACAAAATCTTTATTTACGCACGAGCGTGCGTAAATAAGATGACGTGAGCATTTTTTTTACCTGGCTTCAGAGTTTCCGTCCTGTTAAGCTGCAGTTGTTAAACGATAAAATTACAACTATAGTTAATCTACAATATCGTAAGGGTTTCCTGTATTGGTGTTGGAAAGAAAAAGAATGGAAATATTATTTTATTCTACGTCATTTAATATAAATTATAAAAAGGGTGGTCTCATCTTAAGAGGCTGTCTCTCTTATTTCCTCTCTTATATTCTCTTGTCTCTCTTATTTCCACCCGGTCAATTTTGCGTCAAAAATAATTTTGCCTGAAACTCTGTTAACAGAAAGACTTTACCTAGGAAAGAACTAAATTAGATTTGGTTTGATTCGAAATAATTTTCTGACTGCATTACGGGCCATAATTATTTCTCAGTCCGTAGGGACCGTCGCAACGTCTCAAAAATTGAAAAATAGGCATATTTTGTAACGTTGTAAAATATTTGATTCGCATAGTTAAGCAACAGAATGTATATCAGATTGCTTAAAAACCTTTCTAGTTTGCCAAGAAAGTTAGAATTTGCCCTCTCGACATATTTGAAAAGGCGAATTTTAGCATATTCTGACCACTAGAAATCGCCATTGGCCGATGGCCGTAAATAACTTTGATTTAGACGCTAAGTTTTGGGATTTGGGACCTGGTTGACGATTCTATCCTACACAGCCGTTAAGTTTAGACCTTTATAGGCATAAATATGCAAAAACCTCTGTACGTTTTCGATTTTTCAAAAGTTATGACCATTTGAATCAGCACATGTACGAGCCGTTGAAACTTTGGATTGCAGCTGCATTCTCTTCAAGAATCAGTCATAGAACTCCACTTGTAGGTCTATGTGTCGAAGTTTGGCGTTTTGGAATTTAAAGCTGTACGATTGCACTATCGCGCATAACAGAGGTCCGCATTAATCATTGCGGGTGAACCCGCTGACCCTTTATTTTTTTTGGAAGGCCTGCAAGTGTAGTATGGCATGCAAGTGCTTTTTCGAAACCAGAGAGGCTTCAGTCTGTAGCGAGTCCTCAGCGAGGTTGTTAAAGCTTTCATTTGACAGAGGATACGCATTGACGAAACACCCAGTGAAGGGAACAACAGCTGCAGTAAGAATAGTAGACGAATCAAAGAACACTCTCTTTACAAATAAGATTGAGCATTTTAGTAGCTTCCACAACTTCGAATATGGAGATATCGGTCTGAGAGTTTGGAAATGTTATGGCATCGGTAAAGGGAAGTACATTCCATATGACCTAATTTATATCAAGCACCAAGGTCAAACGTCCCTTCAAACCATAGAATCTCAAGGGTTTTATGATCCTCCTGAAAAGCGTGTGGTCAAGCGTCGTTCAAAGGGCAGCAAGGAAACAGAGAGTACAACGCCATTGCTTGAATGCTCTGTGTTTGGATGTGTTGAAGTGTTCGAAACCTTTTCGCAGCTGGAGCTGCACCTGGACGTTGGAAAGCATACAGTCAGCAGGTTAAAGCCAGTATGATGCAATCAAAAGGGACTGGGCCCTTAAGTTCTCGTCGATAGATACCGCTGGTATCGAGTGTTCGAGCTGTTCGTTAGATTCTAGTACACCACTCACTTCTCCCGTGGATACTTCGCCCCACTCGTCTTTACGAACAGGATAGGCCGTAAGCAAACTAAGGGGCAGCGTTAGATTTTCAGAGAAGGTAAAAGAATACCTAACGGCACGGTTTACACTTGGAGAAAGAACTGGGCGAAAGGCCGACCCCGCCCAAGTTGCAGTGGACATGCGAAATGCGAAAAATGAATCAAATGCACGTTTGTTCACTAGAGAACAGTGGCTGACAAAGAACCAAGTTCAGAGCTTTTTCTCCCGGCTAGCAGCAATGCGGCGAAAAGATCAGGGTGTGATCGGGATATCACTGGATGAGGAGGAAGATATCCAATGCGTCCAGGAAAATTCCGAGAGATAAGATCTGGTAGACAAAGTTAACAAAGAGATCAAAGTCTCACATCCAATCTGCTACGATACGTAGGACCTCTGTGAACGTTACCACAATAACACACTTCAGAAATTCAATGTGGTTTTGTTGAGAGCCATCTGTAGTCATTTTGAGATCCCTGTAAAATTGAGAGACAAAAAAAACAGATTCTCATAGACAAACTGTCGGACGTGATTAGTGATTTTCAGTGTGTATCTCAGTAGACTTATGTAAACAATGTCTTATACGGTAGCTGAAAGTGTAGAATATGCTCTACAGATACAAACTACCTTTACTTCCGATATCAAGTTCTGACGGCGTTGTTATAGTGTAATATATTATAATATCTAGTAGTCAGTGAAATGTTTTGATGAAATCGATTGAAAATTTACCAAAAGCAACACTTATAACATCTGTTCATACGAAGCATGTGTCAAGTTTTTAACACGTTGGTAGCCGATTTCTCCGGCTATTGACAGGTTGCTGTTCTGTGGACACAATCGACGCGGAACCGAGAGAAGCAAGCTCAGGATATTTGAAATTGATTTATTAATTATATGATATCAAACTCCAGGTAAAAGCATTTATTCTTTTCATCCAAAATTTTTCTGCCCAAATATTACATTGGGATACAAAACAAAACCATACAGCACAACGTACGGCACATGCTATCAGCGGTCTTCTCTTTTGTGCGGACCTTTGTGAGAACAGTATAACATCGAACTGGATCTAAATTTGAGCGATTATTTCTTCACTTCAGAAGCCTAAAACCTTCATTTTTCCCTCAGCTTCCAGACATGGAGAGTTTATATTCTGATTTTGGAAAAAATTCAGCTCTGCAGCGATGTTAAATGGGTGATTCACCGCGAAATGTGGCCAATTCCGGCATTTGTTTTGATACCACGAATCACGATGGATGCCGCCTACTTTTCGAAGGCAATACCTAGCTATTTGTTGAAGTTATCATGGATTTCACCAATCTGGTTATTAGAAAAATTCTGAAGTGAGCCATGAAGCCGGGCTGCAAAGCGGGTAAGCTGTATTTATGACGAAATCTGCTCCTGTGGTTCGATTTTGGTGTAGGCGAAAAAATCGCGAATGCTCGTACATGTGCTGATTCAAATGGTCATAACTTTTGAAAAATCGAAAACGTACAGGGGTTTTTGCATATTTATGCCTATAAAGGTCTAAACTTAACGGCTGTGTAGGATAGAATCGTCAACCAGGTCCCAAATCCCAAAACTTAGCGTCTAAATCAAGGTTATTTACGGCCATCGGCCGATGGCGATTTCTAGTGGTCAGAATATGCTAAAATTCGCCTTTTCAAATATGTCGAGAGGGCAAATTCTAACTTTCTTGGCAAACTAGAAAGGTTTTTAAGCAATCTGATATAAATTCTGTTGCTTAACTATGCGAATCAAATATTTTACAACGTTACAAAATATGCCTATTTTTCAATTTTTGAGACGTTGCGACGGTCCCTACGGACTGAGAAATAATTATGGCCCGTAATGCAGTCAGAAAATTATTTCGAATCAAACCAAATCTAATTTAGTTCTTTCCTAGGTAAAGTCTTTCTGTTAACAGAGTTTCAGGCAAAATTATTTTTGACGCAAAATTGACCGGGTGGAAATAAGAGAGACAGCCTCTTAAAGGTTGAGTTTAATCACGTTCTCCTTGTGAGTGTGGCCACGTTCTCCTAGTGAGTTTTTCTCCTAGTGAGACTCTAGTTTTCCCTGATATATTGAAGCTAGTCCCCATTGTAACAACTTGAGAAGAAAAGTGATTAAAGAAGGATCAACCAAACCACAAACGAGTGTTAGAGAAATCAATTCTAACAAGCTGGTGGAGGACCTCGGGCTTATCCACAACCTCCTCGCTGCCCGCGCTCTTACCACAAGTGTTTCTCTACTACTTACTGTGCCAGTCCGAACGTCTTAGAGGGTAAGAGCCTCGATAGGCGCGTGGCCTATGGACGTTTTCATTTAGTTTGCCATTCTCCGCTTATAAAGGTGACACTGCGGATGACATTTCTAAGCCGTCAATCTTCTTGTGTCGTCATCGTACCATCTCAACTAGCGAATCACGCTTGACTACGTATTATAGTTCCCACATACTGAGTAAGCACCTTAGGGTTGTCTACGCAGTTACAAAATCAATTTCTTCCCTAATCTTCATATCTTTACGGTTGAGATCGGCCAGAACAGAAACGAGATCGACAATATAAAAGTTACAAATAACCTTGGTGTAGAGTATTATTTATACCTGAAAGTGTATCTTAAGAGAAAATCCCCTTTAAAGATTGTTACATAACAACATCTTGGTCACAAGAGTTAAAGAAGAAAGGCTCTCACAAGTACCACCCCCAAATTACTTTTGGTTGCGAAACATGAGGGGTATCACCTGTTTACCCTTAAATTACCTCTGGGAACACGAAGGTGTCGAACGCGACCTATTACCAGGGAGATTTACTCTTCCTGGACTAACAAATTAACTTATTTAAGAACATGGCTTATCACGAGTTCCATATCAACCTCACGAT